ATCTTACATGATCTGCGTTGTACCAAAAACGTGTCGGGTTCGGGAGTCGATTACAGTCAAGGAATGATTAGCACCCTTGAATCGCCCTTTCGGTACCAATTAATTTATCGGTTGTCTTTAATTGCGAAAATTGAAATTGAAATTTAAAAACCCGATTCAAATTATTTACCTTCGGTTGAAATTACTACCGAAGAAAAAATAAACAAAATGGTAGATGACAAAATAAAATATTGAATGCTAAACAAAAAGAAAAAAAATAAATAATAAATAATAATAATAAAATAAATAAATAAATAAATAATAATAAATAATGTATTATCATTTCCTAATTCTTATTTATTATGACAAATGAACATGATAAACATCAACATGTGAAATAAACACAACAAATATAGAACTCATCCATTTCAAAACAGTCAGCGTTGGTATTTTATAAAACAGAAAAAAAAAACAACAACAATTCGTCCATTGCATATCATGGGGTTATCCAACTCATTGTTCAAAGGCATTTAATATCCATCTAGTTATAAAATTCTGCAAACAAACATGTTCCAAAACAACAAAAGCAATTAAAAAAAACCTTTCGAACTGCAAATGGAAATTAAAGTCCATGTATTCAACTCAGCTACAAATCCTTAGCGCTTCTTCTTGCTTGCTTTTGCACCACTGGTGTAACACCGGACTTGGATTTAAATGTCTTGGGATCGTGTGAAGCAGCAACACACTGGGTGCTTTGTGTTTCAGACTCTGGAATGTGGTCCCACCTTTTTTTCTGTATCTTTTCCTCTTGATGCTTGAGTCTATTTATAGTCTAAAGAAACCTATTTTTAGCTCAGATTTAGAGTCTTACTTGGACTCAAATGCTTCAGTTTTAGTGTTTCAATAGGACTCAAATGCGTTGGTTTTAGTGTTTCAATAGGACTCAAATACATTGATTTATTTTCTGAATCTTACTAAATTAGGGTTGTTGAGTGTGGGGTCTACAAAAATAAAAAAATAAATAAATAATAATAATAATAAATAAATAAATATAATATAATAAAATATGTTTGTAGACCCGGACAAAAACGGGTGTCTACAGTATGGTTAAACGCATACTATTTTCATATTTACCAGTAATGCAATAATTGTTATTTTAGGACATTGTCAGTTTTAAAATTAATGGAATTAAGCCTTTACCTCAAATTTGTATGGTTTAATTACTTTTTAAGACATTTGAATTTTAAATTTAGTGAAACTAAATCTTTTCATCTCTTAATTTTTATGATTTAATTATTTTTAAGACCCTATTTTATTTTAAAGTTAAACAATTTATCCCCTCATGATTCAATTCTGACTCTATACCTGCAACAATGGTAATGTACATACAAATAATCTTATTTTTATTAAACTTCTTGATGTTAAATAAAGTATATGAATATCATGATAGATACACAGAGATTCATAGTGAAGTTCGATGGAAGAGGAGTAATAATGCATAGGTATAGTCGTCACAATAGACTATCCGATTAGATTCTTTTCTTTCTATAACCTTCAATCATATCATAGGAATTATAAAAAAAATAGTTCTATTGTATAGTTGTAGTTGTTATCATCAATTACTTAGTCTGATAAGTATATTTCAAAACAAAATATGATTAGTGAATAGTTTTCAGTATAAAAATTCAAAAAACAACCTCAAATTTGTATAATTATTAGCATAATTTTATAAAAAAAATCTTTAAGTCCATTTACTAAATTAGAAAGTGGATTAACTTACAAATCTACCTAATTAATATTCTAGTTAATATATAGATAGAGATAGACACATGATATTATGTTAAGTATACGATTTTAAGAAATCTTTCAAACTCATGAATGCTCAAAATATATTTTCTTGTTCTTCATTGTAGGGCCATGATTATTCGTCTGGGGTTTGGCAATTCGAGGGAGAGGCATATATCCCACGCGGAACAACCGGAGCAGCGGTGATGCAAATATTTGGCGCTTCTTCTCGTGCTACGACCATAATGCTCCTAGTCTACGACGACGAACTCTCGGTTTACGGTAGGTCCGCGAGGTTGCTCTCAAACATGTATAATGGATGGTTTAAAGTGAACGTAATCCATGACGTACGTGGGTGCTTCCAACGTCAAGGTTTACATCGATGGTGTTCTAAGATACCAAGGGTCCGGTGCCGGAGGAAGCTATCATTACTTCAAATTTGGGGTTTATGCGCAAGATGGTCCCTCCCACCGCATGGAGTCTCATTGGCGGATAATTAGGGTTCTAAATAAGAATTAACGACAGTCAATTTCGTTATATTACTACTACTACTAATAAAACTTGGTATGAATATAAAATAATGATGTTGATTAAAGATGTTGTATAAATGTAAAAGGATGATGATGATGAAGAAGTAGATCATATTTTATTGCCTATATATGTGTGCATGTGTTGAATAAATGTTTATAAGATGTGAGAGATGATTTGAGATGTTTCCCAACTTCGATCGTGTTACTCAAATTTGAATAAATGTTTATAAATGTAAAAAAAATTATGCGAAGACTTTACAAAATTATTATAAATATATGCCACTAGGAATTTATCCTTATGATCCAAATATCAGGATGAAATTATTATTAACACATAGAATTTAGTTCAAATGTGCGATAAGTCAGGTAGGGTCGAGTATTGGGTCGGATCAATATTGAGATGGTCAATTTTTAGATCAAGTCAATATCGAATCGATCGACTTTCGAGTTAGGTCAATATTGGGTCGATCAATTTTCAGTTTGGGACAACTTTTGACTCTTCATGTCAATTCATGTAAAAAAATGTATCTTTATGTTTGTTAATTTTATCATTTAGGTTTAATTTCAACTCTCAATCATTCATTCTTTTGAATTCAACCATCATTTAAAAATGACAATTTGACTTGAACTTGATCTTATAGGACTTGTTAGAGTTTGTAACATGAATTTCGTATTAATTGGACCCAAAAAACTATAATGTGGCATATTTGGTAAGAAAATAAAATTGCCAATTATAAATTTTATTCTAGATTAAAAATTTTAACTAGATATTTAACATTTGGTATAAATATAATATTTTTATTAATTTTTTTTAAAAATAATACAATAATAATATTTAAATGAATATTAGTTTAAATAATTTTATAAATGATATTGTATTTCAATAATATTTTAAACTTAAATTATAGATAAAAATAAATATTTATATATTATAAAGATAAACTATTTATCACATTATTAAATAAGAAAAAATGATAAAAAAAGAATAAGACTTGCATCATTTCACTATTTATTACATTACTATAAAATAGACAATAACAATAATAATATATTATATATTATCTTTGACTCAATTATCTAACTAAAATTAAGTCAGTTCAATTCGGATCAGATTTGGATAAATCAAATTCAAATTATTTTTATCAGAATTATTTTCAATTTAGGTTATCTTTTATTCGAGTTACTTTTAATTGAAGTTAATTTGATTCAAAAAACTTTCTATTTAAGTCAATTGGATATATGTCCATATCGATCCAACTAAAAAAAATTGACTTTGATTCAATTCAACTTTTTTAGAATTTCAATTCGAATTTTGACCATGATGTTCAAATATATATTAGATCTCAAGTCAACGTGAATCGATCGGGATAACCAAATTAAAAATTAATTTTGTCAGATCTAATCAATAGATACAATTACAAAGCTTTTAACACTCCACTTATAACTAATTTTAAGTTATATTTTTAAAATATATAATTGAATTAGTAGTCAAAAATCTCAATTTTTATTTAAAATATATAATTGATGAAAGCTTTGAAAAATATATAATTTTACAAACTGTCAATCGAGTAAATTTTAAAAATTATGATTAAAATTAAAATATTGAATCACAAAAAAATCAATTAAAATACTATTTTAATAAAATCACATTTTTATATACAGAGAAAGAATCCCATTGAATTTAGCATCCTTTAACTCGATGAATTATTCGTTTAAGAGAGTACACAAAAATAAAAATATAAATCTATGAGATTATAATAAAAATATAATAATAATAATAATAATAATAATAATAATTTATTTTTAAAACTAATAAATATCATTGAAAATAAATTATTTTTTAAAATTTTATATAAAATTAACTTTCAAATATTTTTTATTGATATCAAGATATGTTATTTTCCTAAGAGGATGAGTGTAAATAGAATCCTCGATTTATTATTAAGAGCATGACAATAATTGCACCCGTTAATGACACAAATACGCCCAAATCTCAGGATGGAATATGTCCAGACACATTTGTACTCTCAATGTTAGAAGTCCACAATAAAACCTGCTTCCAAATTGCCCACCCAAGTCTACACTGTAAAAATATTCCTCAGCTTAACTTACTTCTATGGCTGAGAGCCTGTGAAAGCAAAGAAGCCGATAGGTTTAAAGAGATAATAGACATGGCGAGAGACTAACAGATTAAGTGGCTAATTATTCATGGTATCTTGCACGTATCTATTCTTTGCATGATCACAATATCGAGCAAGCTTTTTGTGCCTTTCCCTTCTTTTTTGACTTCTTTTGGAGGATGGAGAACCACTTTGATGGTCGCATCAAAGACGGGTTTCACATTCTATATTTTGCAAAGTAATTATCATGAATCTTTTCCAGGACTCGTAAAGATAAGGTTGAAGATAAGTTACCATAATACTGTACCTGCTGTTTTTTTTTTTCTTTCTTTGAACTACAGTCAACATAAAAAGGTGTTCCAATTATCTTTTCTGAATTCCTCACCCTTTCGGTACGAAAAGGAAAACAGAATCGAAATTAAGATCTCATGCTTTCAACTAAAATGATGTCATGATGTGATGATGCAAATAACTCAGCAGAAGAAATAACTATGAAAAACAGCTGTGATGAGTATCATGGTTGTTGTAATTGGGACTGCACCAGGGTGATCTATTAAGAACTACTTATCATCATGAATATCTGCAGTAAGAAAATTTGGCAGCTGTTAATCAATCATAATCTGATAGCTTCAAATATAAATTCAGCAGTTGTTAATGTCATAGCTACATTGGAAAATGTTCTGGAAGATACTTCCTGGAATATTTACTAAGAACATCAATTCGTATTACTTCTAATCTATATAGCAACCTAAAGCTCATTATGTCAGTCTCATTGTGTACCTTAATCCTCATCAAACTTTGTGTAGGAACTGGCGAGCAGAGGGGGATACATTGCAAATATAACCATAAACCATATAATGATGGAACAAGTCAAAAGTCCTATTAGGTTCAGTAGAGGCTCCAACAATCACCCTGATGATAGATAGGATCCTAAAGCCATTCCTAAAATAAAGGGGATTTTCCTTAGTAGCACGGTTAGTTTGAATTCAATAAAGGTTCCAGTACTGGCAGGTATTCAGTGTGCAACATTTGAATTGATATGCTTTAAGAATGTTACCTTACTTGGACTTGCCCAACTACAGCATGGAACTGTGAGTTTGTTTCAGTTTGCACAAATGCTGTGCTTCCATTGCCATGTTCTCACTTGCAGAACAATAGTTCCTCAACACGTTGCTCATAGAATCAAGTTTGAGGTGAGTTCTCCAAGCCGTGCGCACACACATACTAAATCTATAATGTGAAAATAAGCATCATCCTGCATCAATACAGCAAAGTTAAGCAAGATCCATTTGGAAGCTGTTATTACTAGTTCATGAAGCAGCATTCTTCCGTTTAAAAACATATATCTTGAACATTTTGGGGGTGTTTTACGAAATAACAACAGAAAATTACAGAGAAAATGAGAAAAATAGATGCATAGTTGAGGAATAGTGGATGGTTTTGAGTGAAAATGACACTGGAAACCCTTTACCATTTCCAGAAAACATTGGACTTGCACTTGTATTTGTCCTTTCCTTCACAGTCCAAGGCCAACTCATCAGAGATGAAATGTATTTTCTGCATCAACAAAACCAGCAAATAAATTCTCAACCAAATATAATCCCATCACCATGACCAACCCAAACTTGCAAAAACAAGATAATGAGAGTTGGAACCTTCTGTTTTGCAAGATCCTCGCATCAGGTAAAGTTCTCAGTGAACTTGCAGCCCCCAAATCTACAGTGTATGCTTTCACAAGGTTTGCTCCACTTGTGGCCAACCTCTGCTTCTTTTCAACCACTTCTCCAATTTATGTTGTATCTCTGCATGATCTGAGTGACTAGTTCTCAGCTTAAGTATACATGTTCAAGCCCAGCTGTAACTCTTGTTACTAGGAGTCTTGTGAGGCAGTCTTTGATCCATAAGGCCATGTCTTTCAACCCTAGTCCTCCTTCTGGTTTTGAGGGACAAACTGTATTCCATCTTACTCTTTGCCCCTTTTTCTGATCCCTGATCAAACTATGTTAATAATAATCAAGAAAATTGATTTCTCTAACCTGGAAAATCAAGTTAATATTAAAATGCAAAACACCACATAATGATTAAAGCATAAAGGAACTCGGTGCCTTTAAAGAAATTGCCAAAACCAGAATTCAAGTAAAAATTACCACAAGTTGTAAGGAAGACATCTCTCTTCCTCAACTATCAGTGTGCTCTTGAATACAAAAGCTCAGGATAAGGTAAGTCAGTCAGTTTTGCGTCCTTCACCTACATGGTAATTGCAACAGAATTCAGTGAATTCAATCATCCCATGTGCAAGAGAATAAATAACCCATCGTAAGTGTACATTTTGAACAATCAAATTGTTCACACTGAAATTCAACAAGATAATTTTGAAACTGAACCAACATCAAACTTTTACTTTTCACTTCATATAATTCCAACAGATAAACGACGAAACCAAAGTGAAGATCAGATATACAAACACCATTCAAAGAAGAACATGATAAACTCATACCAAGAGTTCTAATATCACTTGCATTTTTTCAATTCTCAAGTCCTGGAAAAGCAAAAAGCTTCTGCATGCTTGGAGAGAGAGCTTTCCTCAGCCTGATACATATTAATTGGATACTTCAAGGTATAGATAAGATAAACCGTCTTGTTTGGAGTATTGCTACCCTGCAAGGAAAAATAACATTGAAATGAGTTTAGTACCATTGTACAATTTAATGCACCTCCAAACATTTCAGAGCGCATATAAATCAACCACTTCAATCTCAGAGGTCCTTACTTCTCACAACTCTCTTTGCTTTCAAGATACCTTGGTGCAAAGCTGACATGGTACAATTATCTGGCTGTATGCCCCTATTTAACATTCCATTAACAAGGTTTACGGCCTTCTCTATGTAACCTCTTTTACAATAGCCAGATACAAGAGCAGTATATGTCAAGTTATCAGGTTCTAATCCAGCATCAATCATTTCATCAAAGATCATAATTGCATCCTGAAGATTGTTTGTCCTACAGTACTGATCAATCAAAACTGTGTAGCAAACAACATCAGGTTCTACTCCCTTGCATTTCATTTCACTCCACAAAGTTGAAGCATCCATTACTGTCTTGTCTTTATTTAGTGTTGCATCAGGACTGGAAAGAGATCTCAAATTTATTCTTTTATGGCTGTTAAGCAAGACCGTATAAGTGATAACATCAGGCTCAATTCCTCTCTCCTTCATATTATTGAAAAGATTCTCGGCTTCCTGCAAAAGATTCATTTTGCAGTAGCCGCTTATCATTATTGTGTAGATAACTAGATCAGGGGTTAGCCCTCTATCAATCATTTTATCAAACAACCACTGGGCCTTTCTCAAATTTCTTGCCTGACAAAATGCACCGATGAGTTTACTGTACATTAATTTGGTAGGCTCAACATTGAAAGCAAACATGACCTTCAGTAGCATAAGAGCTTTGTTATTCTTACCATCCATGCAAAGACAACAAAGCAGTTTTGAGCAAGAAGCCTTACTAATTAGAAATCCCTGCTGAGACAGCATAAGAAATAAATCAAATGCACTTTTTGTGAGTCTTGCTTCAATATAACCATCAACCAAGGCAGCACAATTTTCAAAATTCTCTGGTAAACAACCAAAGAAAGCTTCAGCTTCCTTCACCTTTCCACTTATACATAAACCTTTAATGATTGTGTTGTACATGACAGTCTTAGGCTCCAAACCTTGTTTCTCTACATCATTCAAAAGATCAAGGGCCTCTTGTGTAAGACCGTTTCTAGCTAATCCCCCAGCAAGGACACTGTAAGAAATTACATCAAGCTTGAGACCATTGTCCTTCATCTCATTGAACAAATTCAATGCATCCTCAATTTTACCTTGAAGACAGTATCCATTGATTAAAGTGGTATAGTTAATAATATCAGGGGAAATCTGTTTACTATTCATCTCAGCGATCAATTCTACAGCTTCTTCTACTTTACCCATCTTGCAGAGAGCATCAGCCACAACATTATAACACACCTCATCAAGAAACATCCCAATGTCTCTAAACTTCTTAAATTGATTTACAGCCTCAAAATCCAGGCCCATCTGACACAAGCATTGAAGAACGGAGGTCACAATCACACAGTTTGTCTTAATACCCTTTGACTCCATTTCATGGTGAACATCCAAAGCTTTTACTATATTCCTACATTTGCAGTACCCTTTTATCAAGGCACCATAATGAAGCACATCAAGAACAATGCCATGCTTTTCTGCCTCAAATAAAACACCTTCAGCTTCTTCCATTTTCATCTCATCGCAGAAGCCCTTAATCACAATTAAATAAGCAAAGGCATCAAGAGGAATCTTTGCGTCTCTCCACGATTGAAGCACCTTATAGCCCAAATCTGTTCTTCTATGCATACAAAGCCCTTCGATATAGGTTGTGTAAGCAAAAGTAGTCGGGGTAACTTTTGCTTCATCCATCTCTTGAAAAATGTCAATAGCTTCCTCAAACCTACCCTTTCTGCAAAGCGCCTTAATTACAATGCCATAAGTATGATTATTTGGCTTCAATCCAAGTCTCTTCAACTGTTTATAAAAAGCTATAGCCATGCCAACTTTCCCACAATGAATCAAACGATTCATGAGAAAATTACATGGGAGTATATCTGGAACAAATCCCCGCCTTCTAGTTTGAAACAAGATATCAATAACTTCATCAAACATTTCAACACTGACATATGCCTTCACCAGTGCATTGGACAATCGAACCAAAAAGTTTGAGTCTTCTCCCTCGAGCCCCTCACCAAGAGTTTCAAACAAATCCATGACTTTAAAATCTAAACACTCCTCTTTCCTAATGATTTCCAACAACACCGAATCCAATTTCCTTTCCCAACCGTTCTTATCCAATATTCTTACAATAGATGCATATGTATAAACATCATGAGAAAACCCATCTTCTTTCAATCGGTTAAAAAATAACAAAGCCTTATCAGGTTGTTTTCTCAAAGTGTTCAATGCTTGAACAACCTCAACTCTATTTAATTCAGAGAACTGGTTATTGTTATGATTCATATTTGGGGTACCAATCATTTCTTGCTCATCAGATGAACCAGATGTTAATTGAGCAAGAGCATGGTGCATCTGCTGTGAAACAAAAATAATAAAAAACACTCAGTTTCCCTTTTTTTAAGGTAACAGCACAAAATCTTATTTCGTACTTTTTGCTTCTCGTATAAAAACTGAAATTAGAAATGCAACCTTTTTAAGTTTTTACAGGAAAAGGGCATGATATTACTTTTAAAATAGAACAATTTTGTTAGAGCTGATCACATATTATATAGCCATTGTTAATCAACCATGATTTGGGTGTTTTACTGTTTAACTTGTACATCGTAGCAAAATGTGAGTATCAAAATCAACAATCCAGTGGAGAATGCTGGAATCTTAATTCAAGCAAGTAGTGTTTAATTCCTTAAACAAAACACCAAGACATGCCTAAATATTTTCAATGTAACTTAGTTCATAACATGAAGAAAATTTAATTAGAAACAAAAAAAAAATAGAGGAAGAAAGAAAAAGACGGAAGTACCTTCTTTCTAGCAATAGAAGAAAAGTTCCAAAGTGCAGGTCGAGTCTTCCCCAAGGATTGCCCCAACATCTAACCAAACAAACAGCAATTATAATGGAGAAATATTGTCCAAAAACAACAAAGAGAAGCGGGTATGCCAGAAGGTGAAGATTTCGGCCGCAGCACTGGAATTGAAAATCGGGAAATGTGTTTAAAAGATAAATTTTGGTGCTTGGATTAGAACAAATGTGGTAAGGAAGATGGCGCCGGGTGGGTTAGTGGGTTTAGACGAGGGTTTAAGCTTTTTCAAGAAAAACAAAACAAGCCAGTGTTCACAAAAAATATGATGTCAATCGGTTGTCCAACGAGGGTTGGGCTCAATGCTGGTCCAATAAGCTCAATTGATGAAAATTTCTATTTATGCTTAGTTTTTAACATGACTAATGCACTTCTTTTTATTATTATTTTTGTAATATTTTATTTATATTATTTTCATAAATAAAATATATGAAATTAATAAAAAAAATATAATACATTGTCATATTTCAAATTAAATAATTTAAATTAAATTAAATTATAATTTATACTATTAATAATTTAACTTTGACCATGATTGTTTTAAATATTTTAAAAAATTAAATTTTATAAACTATAAATTTTAAAAACTACTTGATTTAAGGTTTTTAAAAACATTGTGGGTGGAATTCATCCATGGAGAGTGTAGTTTTTAAAATTTATAGTTTATAAAATTTAATTTTTTAAAATATTTAAAATAATCATGGTCAAAGTTAAATTATTAATAGTATAAATTATAATTTAATTTAATTTAAATTATTTAATTTGAAATATGAATGCTAATTTATTGACGGAAGATATAGGAGCAAGCATTCGAGTAACGACGATGGGATCAGATGGAATGGTGGAGAGAGAAGAAATAAGATCAATGGTTAGGAAAATATTAGTGGGTCATGAAGGAAAAAAATATACGAACAGAGACTAAGGAGCTGAAAAATAGTGCAGCAAAAGCATTGCAGAAAGTGGTTCATCTTATAATTCACTATCCCAAATCGGAAAAATATGTATCCAGCACCAGAAAACAAAGTCTTCCAAGGCTTGATGATGCTTTTAATATGTCATATTATGTTAAAAGATATTGTTGCAAAATAATAATATTAGTATCGACTAGTAAGTAATTGATAGATTACAAAATATTCTCCAAATATTTTGTATTTACTATTGTATATTTAGTTGCCTAAGTTATAGCCTAATTCCTAATTACAAAATATTCTCCAAATATTTTGTATTTACTATTGTATATTTAGTTGCCTAAGTTATAGCCTAATTCCTAAATTATAGCCTAATGATTAGGATTGTATCTACTAATGACTGTGTATATATTGAACCCCTGTGGTAATGAAAAAGACACGGAATTACATTCTTTCATGGTATCAGCTACGGTTGATCTATCATAGCTTCTGCAACCCTATTTTTTTCTCTTCCTCTTTTTCTCTGTCTTTTGTCCTTCCGTCTGATATGGCTCCCACATCATCTTCCTCATCCTTTCACCCTGCTCTTGCTGTTTCTAACATCAAGACACATGTTCCCATCACTCTTGAGATGGAGAACGTCCAATATACAAATTGGGCAGAGTTATTCAAGGTCCATTGTCGATCTCACAAGGTTCTTCATCATATTATCCCACCGAAATCTAAGGACGGGGAGGCCACAGAGCCGGCCATCTTTAGTCAGGAAGAACAAGAGTTGTGGGATACGTTGGATGCTGCTGTGGTTCAGTGGATTTATTCCACAATTTCGACAGATCTTTTGAATACCGTTATTGAAGCCGATGTTTCTGCCATGACTCTATGGAATCGTCTTCGCGATTTGTTTCAGGATAATGAGAACTCTCGTGCTGTTTCCTTGGAACACGAGTTCAACAACACCTACTTGAAGGATTTCTCCTCGATTTCTGCATATTGCCAGCACCTCAAAACACTTTCCGACCAACTCAAGAATGTGGGTGCTCCGGTTTCGAACAATCGTCTTGTTCTTCGCATGGTGGGTGGTCTTACACCGGCTTACAAGGGAGTTGCTTCGGTTATTCGCCACAAAAAGGTACTACCACCTTTTTATGAAGTTCGATCGATGTTGGCCTTAGAAGAAACCAGCATGAAGGAGGCGACGACTGATGATGCGATGATGGTGACTAATCATGACACTGATGAGATTTCTAATCATCCTCCTCCAGGTCGTGCACGTGGGAAACAGAACAAGCACCGCAACAACAACAAAAACCGCAAACCTACTAGTAGTGGAGTTCAGACGCCGGGTGTTGGACGTGGTGGCAACCGTGGAGGTGGTCCGAACTTGGGCGGTGGTCAGCAGGGTCCGATGCAACCAACATGGGCTATGCCTCCTTGGTGGACATGGATGCAACCACCTTGGGTCATGCCTCCTTGTCCATATCCGACTCAACCTTGGGGTAGGCAAGTTGGACCACGACAACCTGGTATTCTAGGAGCACGACCTCAGCAGCAGCAAGCCTATACTACAACGTCCGAGTGGGCTCCTACGGATATTGAGTCCGTCATGCACACCATGTCTCTCTCTCAATCGGATCCAAACTGGTATATGGATACTGGGGCGACGTCTCATATGACATCAACAAAAGGTAATCTCTCGTCTTATGTTAATATGAGCAAAGATAATGGTGTTACTGTTGGTAGTGGTCAGTTAATTCCAATTCTTGGTTACGGTCATACCGTATTACCTTCCCCGAACCCACCTTTGTCTCTCAAACATGTCCTGCATACTCCGAATCTTATTAAAAATTTAGTGTCTGTTCGGAAATTTACAACTGATAATAATGTGTCAGTGGTGTTTGATCCTTGTGGGTTTTCCGTGCATGATTTACAGACGGGGAGACGTCTAATGAGATGTGATAGTACCAGCTCTCTCTACCCAATCACTCCCACCAGACCGCATCCAGCCTCCTCTCCTACTGTTTTGCTTGCTTCAACGCTTTGGCATGACCGTTTAGGTCACCCGGGCGACTCCATTTTATCCATTCTTCAGCAAAATAAACTGATTGCTTGTAATAGTCCATCTAAGTCTACTACTTGTCAATCTTGTGTACTGGGAAAACATATTCGGTTGCCTTTTGTTCTTTCATCTTCTCAAACTTTCATGCCTTTTGATATTATTCATAGTGATATTTGGACTTCTCCGATTTTGAGTTCTTCGGGATATCGTTATTATGTGCTTTTTTTGGATGATTATTCGAAATTCTTGTGGACTTTTCCCATCGCTAATAAATCACAAGTATTCTCCATTTTTACTAAATTCCAAGCTCATATTCGTACCCAGTTTGAACGAGATATCAAAACCATACAATGTGATAATAGGGGAGAGTTTGATAATGCCTCTTTTCGGCAATTCTGTGAGTCCCATGGCATTTCTTTTCGTTTCTCCTGCCCTTATACCTCCTCACAAAACGGGAAGGCCGAACGAAAAATAAGATCCATTAATAATATCATGCGCACACTACTTATTCATGCCTCTTTGCCACACTCTTTTTGGCATCATGCGCTTCATATGACAACCCATCTTTTGAATATTCTTCCCAGTACACTACTAGCCGATGCGTCTCCTCTACAAATTTTATACCACCGGGTTCCCTCTTATTCTCACATTCGGGTTTTTGGGTGCTTGTGTTATCCTCTTATTCCATCAACGACTATTCACAAATTACAAGCTCGATCCACTCCCTGTGTTTTCTTGGGTTATCCCGATAATCATCGAGGGTATAAATGTTTTGATTTATCCAACAATAAAATCATAATCTGCCGGCATGTACAATTTGATGAAATTATCTTCCCTTTTACCAAAGTCCATCAACCTAGTACAAGTGATTATGATTTTTTGAATGATGGCGTGTCGCCGTATCTTCTTCATCAAAACCAACCACAACAGACTCCACTTTCTTCTCCTACGACCCAACCAGTCATGTCTCCTCCAAACCCTTCACCAATTCGGCCCAGACCGCCCCCTGTTCCATTCGAACGCCCTGTCACCCGCAGCCAGCATGGTATCTTTAAGCCAAAAACTATATTTGACCCATCCGAGGCCCATACTATCACGGTTACGAGATCTCCTCTCCCACGTAACCCTGTGGTTGCACTTCGTGACCCGAATTGGAAGTTGGCTATGACTGACGAATATGATGCTCTTATTAAAAATAAGACGTGGGATTTGGTACCCCGTCCTCCTGGAGTTAATGTCATTCGTTCTATGTGGATTTTTACTCATAAAATAAAGTTTGATGGTTCGTTTGAGAGGCATAAGGCCCGTCTTGTAGGTGATGGTAAAACTCAGCGTGTTGGTATTGATTGTGGAGAGACTTTCAGTCTGGTAGTGAAGCCAGCAACAATTCGTACTGTGCTTAGTCTTGCCCTGTCGAAACAATGGTTGATTCATCAGTTAGATGTAAGCAATGCTTTTTTGCATGGTGGCCTCAAGGAAACGGTTTATATGCACCAGCCTATGGGATTTCGAGATCAAGTGCATCCTGATTATGTCTGTTTACTGCGTAAATCTCTCTATGGGCTCAAACAAGCCCCTCGGGCGTGGTACAAGAGGTTTGCTAATTTTGTTTCTTCCATTGGTTTCTCTAACAGTAAATCAGATACTTCCTTATTTATTTACAAACACGGGTCGGATATGGCATACCTACTGCTTTACGTTGATGAAATTATTCTGACGGCGTCTTTTGAGCATCTTCGCAAGTCTATAATGGCTCGTCTCAACTCTGAGTTTGCTATGAAGGATTTGGGTTTCTTGAACTATTTTCTCGGTATCAGTGTGACTCGACACAAGGGTGGGTTGTTTTTATCACAACAAAAATACGCTGAGGACATCATTGATCGAGCAGGCATGTATTCTTGTAAGCCCAATCAGACTCCAGTTGATACCAAGCCGAAGGTGAGTGCCAACAGCGGTGCACGATATGCTGATCCAACTCAGTACCGCAGCCTTGCGGGTGCCCTTCAATATCTCACTTTTACGCGGCCGGATATTTCCTATGCAGTTCAGCAGATTTGTCTCCATATGCATGACCCTCGGGATGAACATATGAACGCTCTCAAGCGTATCATCCGGTATATCCAAGGTACTCTTCATCTTGGTTTACATATTTCTCCTTCCTCCATTACCGATCTTGTCTCTTATACGGATGCGGATTGGGGAGGCTGTCCCGA